TTGCACTTTACTGTCTGTCTCTGTTGATACATTTCTAAGGGTGTAGATACATTCATATTAATGTCAAGCAAGTTCGAAATCGATTTTGGCAAAGACTGCCTACAACTTGCTCTATCATTACATTGTTCCAGGGTGTGCAACTCTCTTCTCTCCAGAAACATACCGAAAGTGAAATTGTGGATGGTGGCAGACTAGATACGGTTAAATCACGTCCTAGATTCTCAGAACACTTACTGCATTCAAAGCATTAACTTAGCATCATTTGCCTTAAAGCAATTTTTTTAAAAAGATTTTATTCCTTTGAGAGAGAGAGAGAGAGAGAGCACAAGTAGGGAGAGGGGCAGAGGGAGAAGGAGAAGCAGGCTCCCTGCTGAGCTGGAAGCCCGACGTGGGGCTTGATCCCAGGACACAGGGATCATGACCTGAGCCGAAGGCAGACGCTTAACTGTCTGAGCCACCCAGGGACCTCATGCCTTAAAGCAATTTTTAAAATAACAGACCATTTACTCTTAGCCAGGGACTAAAGGGCAAATAAAAATTTTTTTGCAGTTTTAAAATCCAAGTACTTAGTTAAAAGACATTGCCCCTCCCCCCCCAAGTTTAGGAATGACCCCTGGCCTTATGAAGTTATATCTGAGTATTAGAAAGTACTCGGTGGAGTAGATTTTTGTTAATGAAATAAATGAGATTATTTCATGTGAACAAACCATTGACTAGGAAACATATATATTAAAATGTTTTCCATTAAAATATAGTTATTATTTTATAATCTAATAAAATAAAATTTCTTCAGCTATCTCATTAGGGATAGATGAGAAAAACTGCACAAATCACAGGTGCTCAATATTAATATGTTTGCATTTTTGTGGAGAATTTGAAATAGCCAGGGCTCTTCCATTAGTGTGGTTATGTGAAGAGACAGAGAAGAATTTAGGTTGTTGCCAAGTCTCCAGGATACTTGAATCTGGGCTCCACCAAGAATGAGTGAGGAAGTTTGTATGGTACTTCTGTGGAAGGTTCCACTGATTGACAAAGAATATCACGGATCAAGGACACAGTTGTGTGGTTCTGTTGGTGGTGTACATATTTGTTTCTCCATTTATGGTCTGGAGGATTTTAAGTTAACTCCTTGAAAGAGCTTTTCTCTGAAAAGTGGGGTATCCTCACGTCGTGGATGGTTAACCCTGAAGGATACAGCAGGGACGTTTTTCCAAGGGAACTTTCAGGGTTGCAAAGTTAGAGTAGCTGGGAACTTCCGCGCTTCTGATGGACTTGGAACTGTGTGCAAGAGGGAGGAACTCAGGCTTGTCAATAAAGATATACCAGAAGCCCAAACATGAAGAAATGTTTATACACGGAGTCAGCTTCAGGAATGGATGCTCTAACTAAGAATAGACCTTATATCTGAAGGTCTCCGCAGAGCTACATTACAGATCATCTCTTAAAGACAAGAGAGGTGCACATGAAATGTCAGAGAAAAGAATAAACATTGACATGCCAGATGAGTGATTGTTTTCCTCCCACCAAAGGACCTTGGAGGATTGGAGCCCCAAAGTCATGGATATGAGGTTGAACCATATGAGGATTTCAGTGCCCTCCTACTCACAGAATTTAAATGGAAGCTATAGTTTGAGGAGATATATTTGTAAATTAAAACTCAAATATTCCCAAGAATCCCCTGCATGACTGCAAACTTGACCAAGATTTTAAATGAAATCCCGAGCCTCTTGTTGAACTGCAGCAAGAGCAGATGAAAAAGGCAAGGAAACAGAAAGAAACCAAGATTCTTTTTTTCTTTCTCTGTGTGTGTATTTATGTGCGTATGTATGCATGTGTTCCCTTATTTGCTTGAATTGTTTGAAATTTAATTGTAAGACACCATGATGTTTCACCCCAAATACTGCAGCAGATATCACCTAAGCACAAGGACCTTCTGCGTAACCGCAATGCAGTGACCACACTTGAGAAATTTCATGTTGATACGATACCTTGATTCAGATTTCCCCACGAGTCCCTGTATTATCTTTCAGAGAGTTTTCTGTGATTCAGGATTCAGTGATAGCTGCACATTGCATGCATTTGTCGGGTCTTTTAATCTCCTTTCATCTCCATCAGTTCTCACGGTCGGTCTCCTGTGATCATTCATGACATCAGCACTTCTAAAGTCTAGACCAGTTGTTTTGCAGGATATCCCTCCATTTGAATTTGTCTGTTTTCTCATGTTTGAAATCCAGATTCTAAATAAATAAATCATAGATAGATAAAGATATAGGAGGGGAAGGAGAAGTGGGAGAGAGAAAGGGAATGAGAGAAAAGGAAAAAGATGCAAATGATTTGGTGAAAAATTGTTTATTCACACCAAAGAATACAAAGTCTAGCAGATTTCTCTTGAGACAGTATTGATAAGCAATGGTGTGGAGTGGTGGGTGAGGGGATATGGTGCTCATTGAGAGTTAAGGATTTCTGAAATATTGCAGTGAAAACATTTTGCTTCGAGGCAAGGGAATAAACCTTGAGAGTTTGAGTCGTGTGCCAAGTTAAATGTAAAACTCAGTGAAAACAACAACAAAAATCAAACTAGTTCTTTTAGTTTATCCGTAAAATAACGAGGCAATTTATTTTTCTTAATACACATAAGCCAGTTTCTTTGGTGCCTTTTAGCTCCAGCAGATTTGTTTCTTTAAAACCCTTCACTGGACTGAACAAAATCAAAGATGATCGTAACGAATTCATGAGACCGAACAGACACTATTCCAGATAGAGGAGAATTTAGTCTATTTTTAATAAACCTCTAAAACAGAGATTCATGAACCCCAGCCTAAAAAGAAGACTCCTATAAAATCTGTTCAGAAGTAAATCTTATTTTCAAGCTGTCAGAAAACAAGAACCAGACAAAATCATCAGGTATCAAAGGCGAAGAACAGCTGAAATGAGTTTTCTACTTTGCCATTGGGTCTCTGCTTCAAGTGCCTGCTTAGAGAAGCAGGCATCTTATCTCCTAGCCCCCAAATAAATAAAAAGGGGATGTGTAATTTTAGGAGCACTGCTAAGAAATCACAACGTTCAAGTGGTTTTTGCTATAATTTATAGGAGCCTTCCTATACTTATTCCTGACATTTTTTTGATTTACATGGTAAGGGCAGAATTGTAGAAAAACAAACAGACCCTGAGTAGGAAAGGCACTTCATTTCCTGTTCGTGTCTAACATTGGCTCTGATCGCTGTCCTTGGAGTCCTGGTCACCAAACCCAGTGAATAATTATGCCCTGGATCAGGGAGGGGGCGGTCTTATTTGCCGTGGGTTTGTTTTCTGGGATTTTCTGTTAATACCTGGATGGGAAGCAGAAGTGGACTTTGTAGTTGGCTTCTCTAAGACTCAGTGGAAACAGTTGTTGAGAGCTCAAGTTCTGTGATGTTGATTATTAAGTGAACTATTGTCTGTAAAGTCCATTCATTATGCTTTTATTTTTTTTCAAAAACTTTTATTATAACAAAACCAGGCATACTATATTGAATCGTATAACCAAACACCGTGTGTACCTGTTGCTTGACTTCTGCAATGATCAACTAACTTCTTGGGAAATTTGTTTCATTTTCATGCCTATCGATTCCCCTCCATCATTTTATTTTGAAGCAAATCTCAGGTATTATAACATTTAATCCATAAATATTTAAGTAGAGAATAGATACTCTTTTAAGCAGTCTTGCTTAAAAAAAGAATGGTATATAGGTATTTAATGTATTCTGCAGGTTAATGCACAACTTAAGTACTTCCAGTCTCTGTTGAGAAGATATAGAAGAGCTAAACCCAGTCAAACTGGCAATTTGACATGAGCATAGTAGTCATCTGGAATGGTCATTGATTCTCTGTAGGACAGCAGCTGTAGGTCCAATAAAAAAGTGATGTCACCAAAGAATTTCTGTCTTGAAGAAAGAAACATTGTTAAGAGTGATGAATTCTCTTTGTTCTTTGGACCACCTCTGGTGATAGCATAGTCTAACTCTGACCCTCCAGAAACATAACCATGGACAAGTCAGTCACTTACCCATCTCTGAAATTAAACTTCCCCATTTAAAACATGGGTATGGGGCGCCTGGGTGGCTCAGTTGGTTAAGCGACTGCCTTCGGCTCAGGTCATGATCCTGGAGTCCCGGGATCAAGTCCCACATCGGGCTCCCTGCTCAGTGGGGAGTCTGCTTCTCCCTCTCCCGCTCCCCCCTCTTGTGCTCTCTCACTCTCTCTCTCTCAAATAAATAAATAAAATCTTTAAAAAACAAACAACAACAAAAAAAACATGGGTATGATGCCTGCTGTACCGATAATTTGTGATCTGAGATGTGAACCTGCTTTAAAAATAATGGCGGGGCACCTGGGTAGCTCAGACGTTAAGCGTCTGCCTCTGGCTCAGGTCATGATCCCAGAGTCCTGGGATTGAGCCCCGCGTTGGGCTGCCTGCTCGGCGGGAAGCCTGCTTCTCCCTCTCCCGCTCCCCCTGCTTGTGTTCCCTCTCTTGCTGTGTCTCTCTCTCTGTCAAATAAATAAATAAAATCTTAAAAAAAAAATGGCCTGTATATTGCTAATATAGAAACTACTAGAACATTGTATGTTAACTATACTGGAATTAAAACCAATAATAATAATGACGATGGCCTGGTTGCACATTCTCCTTTAGCATAGGTTTTTTGTGGCTTTGAAATGACCAATATCCAGGATTTTTAATGGCATCAGAAAATGTAAAGATTGAGGAAGTAACCATCTAGAATATTTTATAATCTAGGTTCTCCGCCCCCTCCCCCCACTCCCCCAAGTATATTTCATTTGGGCATTTTATCTCCAAGGTGAGATCCATTTTGGCTGACTCATTTTCTCTCTCTCTCTCTCTCTCTCTCTCTCAGATAGTAAAACATTTGGGAATGGTGTCTTGATCAAGCTCACCTAAAATTAATATATTTCTCTTTGAAAGATGATCCGAATTTTTTTCCTTCTCTTTCCTTTTTTAGCTTTGCCTCCCCGATTGAAAGAGATGAGAAGCCAGGAGTCTGCCGCGGGCTCTAAACTAGTGCTTCGATGTGAGACCAGCTCCGAATACTCCTCTCTCAAATTCAAATGGTTCAAGAATGGGAATGAATTAAACCGCAAGAACAAGCCACAAAACATCAAGATACAAAAAAAGCCAGGGTAAGTGTAATGCATCTAATAGCAGAGGCAGTGTCTAGCCATAGAATGATAGAAAATATAAAAATGATCTACAGCCCCAAAACGTGAATTCACTTACCAAAAAAGCTGTGATCTATAATAAATGAAAAGGCTGTTCATTATATGATGACCAGAAATTGTCTTATTATATAGGGAAGAGTTTGAAGTTTCTGATTCTTACAGCTTCTGGATGAGGAAAGAAAAGAGTGGATGGGGGGAGAACTGGAGACGTGGAGGGAGAAGCTTTGGTGATAACTGCTGTAATTGGAATATGTTACATCTTAAAATTGGCTTTCTTTAAAATAAGACAAATGCTATTGAGAGCACCAGTGCTTTCCACAATCAACATCCCAACTTAACGAAGCCCAGGAAATGCCCAGATTTATGGGAAGAGAATGCAGCCACTTGAATTTGAACTATTTTCACGTAAGAGGCTAATACATCCAGCGATACCCAATACGATGTTTTTTAACTGGCGATTTGTGAAACTACATCACCACTGTAGCACATTAAAACATCAGGTGATCTTGGCTCGCAAGAATCTTTTTTTTTTTTAAGATTTTTATTTTATTTTATTTATTTATTTGAGAGAGAGAACACATGAGAGGGGGTAGGGTCAGAGGGCAAAGCAGACTCCCTGCCGAGCAGGGAGCCCGATGCGGGACTCGATCCAGGGACTCCAGGATCATGACCTGAGCCGAAGGCAGTCGCTTAACCAACTGAGCCACCCCCGCGCCCGGCTCGCAAGAATCCTAAATCCCCCTGCCTTCCTCGAGGAGGGCCACAATTGGAAGGGCTCCAGGTGATTCCCGTAACATCTTGCAGGGTTGTCTACACCTACTCTAAAATGAGGCTCCTTTATTATTCCCATCCTCTTCATTTTTATATATTTCCTCACTTAAGAAATCCTCTTCTATTATCACACTACATTTTGAAATTAGGGAAGAGATAAGTATGTGAGAGTTTTGCTTGTCAATAATCTTTTCATCGATGTGACATGGATGATAGTACTTCCCGGCTCAGAGATTACATTTTCTTTCCTCACACACAGAGGATTCCAGTGAAATCCCAGGGATGATAGCAGAAGCAACAACAAAAGAATCTCCTCCTGTACTTTGACTTAATAGACCACCTACCAAAAAGTTGACACACACTCACGAGCGCAAGAGACAACAAAGTGATTATAATGGAAATTTAACTTAATTTTCCCATCGTGTTTAATTACTGTAATAACCATAATTACTGAATTTTTCCCCTAGTTTCCGTGGTTTTATTAACTACGCTGCTTGTTCTTGTTACTGATTGTGTTGGCAAGATCTTTTGACTTGGAAGTACTATAATAAGATGTGGGGAGAAAAGTACTACTTTTGCAGCAGGTGGTTCTTCAAAGATACAAAAAATGACACTGTAAAGTGACATTTTTTTTTTACACAATCTTATTTATTTATTACAACATTCCCCTAGGTAGTAAGGGAAGTTGAACTGTACATGGGGCCTAATTTTGCATATTAAGAAATTAAAATTCAAAAAAGCGTTCTGCCTTGCCTTCAATCTCACAACTAGTAAGTAACTAAGCTGGAACACAAATCTGTTCCTTGGGTTCCTTAACACCTTATTCCTTCTTTTAAAAATGGAAAGCATACATGTTTAATAACGTTTGCATATGGGGAGGGGAGGAGGTAGAGTGAGTGAACTGTAAAAAAGAACTATGATGCTTATAGAGGAGTTTAACAAGAAAAAAAATACTTTTAGATACTGGATTGAATAGAGTTTGGTGTCTGTTTTGTTTTTCATCAATTAGACACATTAGTAAGGAACTAAGTTATCTTCACACGCAGGAGAATGTCTCATTTCTTTCCACACGGCTGTCAAATGATATCAGTAATATTTAAGTGCCCGCAGAAGGCTTTATGCTGCGAGTGTGGGGAAATGGGAGAAGCATGGGTGTTATCTCTGCCCCCAGGGGGTCATAGATTGTATAGGGATTCTCTAGTTCAGCCTTATCTGAAACATAGTTGTCCCAGAGGCCATGTGCTAGAGCCCTCTTCGGGCTGGGGGGTACTTCAGGATTTTCAAGTGGCCCATCCATTTGCAAATAGTGACCTTTTAGAAAATTATTTTTTATGTTAAGGTAAATTCTACTTTAAGTCAAGATTTAATCAGGGAGGTATCCCTAATGTATGATCTAGCGTATCATACATGCAATAAAGCCAAGTGCTAAATTGTAGGTTACTGATTCTAAGTGCCGTGAGTTTGGGAAGAGGGAGAGACAGAGCTTCGTGAGTAGCCATGGGGAGGTGGATTGGAGTCTGCTAAAGGGGGAGAATCCCCTCTGCCTGGCTGGGTGGGGTGGGCCAGGCCATGAGAGAGAAAGAGCAGAATTAGAGTCAGTAACAAGTTCTGTTTATAGGACAGTAAAGAGGCCAGTGGGTGAATGGGTAGGGAATTCTGCCCTTTATGGGACAAGCTGCTGTGTGTCAGACCTTGGGCTAGATGCTGGGTACACAGAGATGAGTGGTCTAGAGGGGAGAGAGATAGCGAACAGTTAGAATACTCAGTCTTCAGGGCTACAGTAGTGGTAGTCCTGGGATGCCATAGCAAGAAGCTAGCACAGATGGGGAAGGGGACCCGATTAGGGACGAAGGAGGCTGCCAAGAAAGCAGGGAGGGAGAAGAGGTTTATCTAGGCTGAAGGAACAGAACAAAGCATCTTCAGACTGGGATTATTCAGTCTGAGAATGCCTGGGGAGAAACAAATGAAGGTGGATAAGTAAGGAGTAAATGGTTTTGAGAACAGTTCCTATATACCTAAAGAGGTAATTTGTTACATGGCTTGGATGACATATAAAAGTATCATTAGTATTCAGGAAAACATTTTCATGTTGGCTTCATAGGTCCAGACAGCTAAGAGAACTGTCTACATATTAATAAAACCCCATTATACCAGAAAGGCCAATATTCAGAAATCACTTCTTTTAAACAGTAGCCTTGCTGGAAAGAATGAAATGGGAACAAAAAGGTGTTTTATGCAGCTGATGTGGCTATAAATTACTCTTGGCAAAACATTTTAACATATTTGATCTTCCAAAAATAAGACACTGTGTAAAGTGGGCCATTAGTGTTGTTGTCTTTTTTTTTTTAAGGTTAAAGGACCAAACCTTTAAATTTAATTAACATTTGCAAGGTGCCCCTGTTATTTCAACTTGTCCTATAAATATAAGAGAATGGATGCGATTATTGTTATACCCATTTTTTTAAAAAAAAATGAATGCCCTGAGCATGAAGGAAATTCAGTTTCTTGCTGTAGATCTAATGTTGATGAATAGCAAAGCTTGGATTTGAAACAGGTCTGACTCTATGCCTCCTGTCTTTTCACAGCTACTGGTGATTTTGCTATGTATAGTAAAGTCACAACACAGGGCTGGGGACACATACAGGCATAGGGTAATGTCTTTAATAAAAAAAATTCTCATTTTTCAGTTTCATTTACATATTCATAATTTTCCCTTACTAAGAGATTCAAACCTTTAATGGTTTGCAGCAGTTACTTGGTACCTTAAACTTTATCAGAGGCTTTGATCAACCAAGCAGAGGTGAATTTCAGTGTGAAGTTTAGGATTTCTTTGGGATTCTCTGTATTTTAAGGAAAATGTTGACTCTTTTCCAATCCTTAGTCTAGGTTTCTTTTTCACGTAGTCTAGATCATACATGCAGCCAGAATTTCCTTGTCATCCCTTAGTGTTGCAAAGAGACTCCAATCAGCAATTTCTATTATTTTGTAAAGTCTTATCACCCTTCTGCCCCTGAACTACATTCTTACATGTTCTTCCTATGACTTTGAATTTATATCTGAGCCTGTGTTTGTTGTATTTGGCAAAGCAGTGTGTGGAACCAATTTAGAAAAATGGAAACTGCCCCAGTGTTATGTGTCTGCTTATCCCTTTGTTCTGCTTCCTCTTCCTGGTGGATCATTTTGAGCAAGAAAACTGGTTAAAGATCATGGCACGCGACAGATTCATATTTGAGGCTGTCAGATTGGCCTCATTTAAATATCAGCTTATGAAAGGCTGACCTCCCATTGTTTGTGTATGGCACACTCTTTTGGATGCCCATAGTTCTGTCTCAGTCTTCATTTCCACTCTCACCTATTTTCATTTTGTTTAAAATTGGATCTAATTGGTCTTGTCAAATTTCTGCAAACATTTTAAAGGGAATTCTTTCTTCTGTTGTCCATTGTTGCAGGTCCTTTGACTCTATTCTAGAAAAAGTTCACACACATTCCCTTCTTGCATCAGCTGAGCAGCTTTTGCAGGTCATTCTAATTTTATATGTAGGGAAAGCGCCAATTCCTTAGGTATAAATGGGAATACTCAGTGCCTATTTCATATGCCTTATGTGAGGCATTTGGTGCAGTGCCTGGTTCTGTATAGTATGAGAGTTGCTTATGAAACCCTCTCCCTCCTCTTTATCCTTCTTGTTATTGGCAATTTGACAGTATCTGAAGTTGTGTTGAACACACACACACACACACACACACACAAGCACACTCACAGACACAGAGTTCATATATGATTCCTTAGAGATTGGAGGAATGGATTTATATAAACCAAGGAGATATTCCCTATATGCATTTAAGTTGTCTTGGCCCATAAACGGCGGTGGAAGAATCAAGCCAAAAAAGACAAAGAAGACAGTCGTTATTGGAACTTTGAATCCATCCTTGAGCACTTATTCAAAGAATACAGTTTGCATTTTGATATACAAAAAGAGAAATTAATATTTAGAACTTTCATCTTTAAATCAGTCTGTATTAATTTATTTTTACATCGTCTTGTTTTTCTTAATCCAAAGGTAATGTGTGCTTATAAAAAAATCTAAATATTGCAGGGATATAAAATGTAATTGTAATGATAGCTAACACTTATTGGGAGCTCATAGGATTCCAAGCATTGTTTTAGACACTTTACATGAGTTAACTCTTTTAATACTTTTAGAAAATGAAAATCCACTGAAACATCAACCTCTCCCAGATTTCTAGATAACTCATCAATTAAAGAGCAAAAAATTCGTTTTATGATTGGATGGGAATTCAACACTTTTTCCAAGTTAACTTCCTTCCTGTGGAGAGCATATGGTAGCCTGTTGAAGAGAGTACAAAACTGTTGTATCCATACTTACCAAAGCCCCAGATCATTGCAGTGTATAATTTTCAAGAAAGGTTTGTCTGTTTCTTCTCTCTTCCTGCTTCCCACCCTGTACTCTAGGGCCCACGGATCAGAGGGTCTCATAGTTCAATGTATCATTGGAGTTCACAGGGGTCCCAATGATCATCTGGATCAGTGGTTTTCCCACTGTGTCCCTGGAGAATCTTAAGTTTCCACTGAATTGAAAATGGGCTGGCAACCACCTTGACCTGAACACCTTTGTCTCTTTATGATAGTTTTGAATATGAGGCTCTGATTTAAGCTTTTGTTTTAAAACAGGTTTTTTTTTTTTTTCAAAATAGTTGAAACCACTGATCTAATTTAATCTTTTTTCTGCATAGAGATATTCTTGACAGGTGGTTATCCAGACTTGAATCTTTCCAAAGGGAAAGACACCCTCCCCATTTCTGAATGTTCAAAAACTCTTCCTTATCACTCAAAATATGCCTTCTTTTTCCTGTCGGACATAATTCTGTCTTCAAGAGCCTCCTCGAATAGTTTTCTTTTCCAGATGACAACCATGAAATATGTTTAAAAAGCTACCCCTATCTTGTTCATAGTTGGCCTGCCAGTAGGACCTCTGTTTCTTCAATAGAATCTTCTCTAGTGATAAGATTTATAAGCCCTATTCAATTGTGATCAACTTCTTCTAAAGTCCTCTAGTTATTGATATTTTTCATCAGATGCCCCTTCAAAACATAATTAAATATTCTAGATGTGATCCAGCCTGTGAGCAGTGTATTGAGACTTTTATCCAGTTTGATTTATGCTGTTTTAATATTAATATGGCCAAACAGTGCATAAGTTTCTTTTTTTAGTGTTTCTTTTTTTAGTAGTTCTTTAAAATAGAATCATGTTAAACACATGGCTAATTGAAATCCTTTTTTCTGTATATATTATTGTCCAGGCACGTCTCTCCAAGCCTATACTTCTGCTACTGATTTTTGAACTGGAATGTATTTGTTATGCTTATCTTGATTAAATTGAATCTTGATCTTAGTGCATTGATGTTCAGTCTTAGAATTCCCAAGGGTGTTCTCTATTGAAAGGATATCTTAGCTACATGTGATGCCTGCCTTAGAAATTCACAGTACATATTTGCATAAAAACCACTAAGAGGTACTGTTGTAAAGAAATCTATTTAACTTTGTTCAAGGCAATATTTATTTGAGCATAGAAAAATTTTTTTTCTTATTCTTTTAAGCATAAAATTTATTAGCATTACTTGGAGTAATATTCCAGGAAACCCTGTGTAATTCTATTAGGAGAATTTTTATTTAAAAAATTATCCCTTTAAGATTAACTATAAAGCTGATTACCGTCTTTCTTATAGTTTGATCCAATTCAGTAGTTAAAAAATTAATAGCACAGGGTCAAGAAAGAACTCACATACCATCAGGGACTATTCCTCAATTTACATAAGTAAGAAAGGAGTATTCTTGGAATTATTATAATCTTGAGGTGTTGTGCATTCTTGGGTTGTTGTTGTGATAACCTTAGAATTAAGATTGGGGGCTTAACAAGAAAAGTTATAATTTTCTTATTTTAGGAATTCACTTTTTCTTCTGTGTTGAAAACAGGAAAAACCTCAACCTGACCTTCTTCATGATTGATCTATCAATTATTGTTAGTGGTTCCATGGCTGTAAATGAAAATTCTTCCAGCTAATTATGCTGTTTGGGGCTGGACAAGCTTACTGTAGTATTTGTATTGTTTCTGACCGTTCTTCATAGATGTGTGTCATAAAGGAAACTTGGCATGTATGGACAAATTTGTATAAATAGCTGATAATCCTTTAAGAAAAGTACTGGATTTGAATATTCCAAACTCAGGCTTAGAAGTTAACACAACTTGATGGGGGCTAATATCCTAATACTGTATTTTGATAATTTTAAAAGTTCTTGTAGTTTATAATTAGATCTTAATATCAGCTTGCCAAGGTGCTTGCCCTCAGATTGTTCTATTTTGGTTTATAGGGATAGACTTCAGGGAACCTTTTCTGTAGAGAACCCTTCTGATTAATATGTGACTATCCCTGCATAAATGGCCCTTGGTGATCCCCCCACCCCATTACAGCTAAGCAGGCTGTTATTGTATTAGATTTGCTTTCTATCAACTTTGTTCTGTGCACCATCATTTTCAGGAAATATGAACAGATATGCTATGTGGATGACAAGGATTCCATTGTCAAATAAGTTTGAGAGTAACTAAATAATATATTCCCCTCTTAGAAAGTCAGATTACATTAGCATATGAAAGACTTTGAGAATTCCTGCAGGATTAATAACAACAAAAAGCCTGTTTTTGTTCACCCTAATGTCTTCCGAATTTACTTGAGTACAGTACTTTTGTTTTCTCAAGTTTACGTGTTGACATTGTTCTGAGTCATTAATTTTTTAATCCACATGTTGGTTTGAGTGTTGCTGCCTTGGTCTGGACCTCCTCCGACTGTCTCTGCCCTCTTAATAGGGCATCCTCCTTTCCTGCAGCCAGCATTTAGGAACATTAGGTCCTGGAGAGAGCTTAAGTAGGAGCATCCAAATATTTTCTTCATTTATTCACACATTCATCCCATAACGTTTGACGATGCACCAAGGACAAAGCAGTGGCATGTCCTCATAGAACTGTGAGGGTACCAAGAAGTTTAAATTATGGACTCCCAAGTGTATGTCCTAGCTAGAAAAATAAGATATACTTCAAGAACTGTGAGGATCATGGGAGAGGTACTCTAGCCTGTCAGAATTTAGACAAAGAAGAGAGGAGTAGCAGCTACATGATTATGAAAGGTTTGATGAAAGAATTGGCACTTGAGGTGGTTCTGAAAAGTCAGCCAATATCTTGAAATATGGGACACACACCCCCCCCCCCATTCTAGGGGGAAGGAAGGGCACAAGCCAAAGCACCATGATGGAAGGCCATAAGGCTTACATACGGGACTGGGTGGGTGGTCCAGTTCAGTAGACTGGAGGAGAATAGAGGGATTGATTTTTTATCAGTTAAATTAGAATAACTGATTGAATTTGATTAATAATATTATATGACAAGAAGACCAAAAATTCACTATAAAACTAAGAAGGTGTACCTTATGGGAGGGAGCCTTGCATATAATTTTGAGTTACTGTCTTTTGTTCCCTGCCTTGTTCTTTTCCTGTTGTCATCCCAAGAGCCCAGGCAGTCAGGACCACGTGTGAGTATACAGGGATGCTTTAAAAAGTCTTTCATAAACTCAACTAGCCCCAGTGGTTCTGTGTTTTTAAATCATGGAGACTGCTTACGTTATTGGCTATATGCAACAGTAAAACATAGACAGATGCAAATCACAATGCTGCCCATGTTGAAAGAGTGTTGAATATTGCTTTAATATGCAGTTTTATAAAAATGTGTGCTGTTGTATGTTTATTTCAATGTTAAGAATGATTTGTGTCCCTCTGTGTCCCTCTAAGATGACTTACCTTTCTTTTGTAAATCCTTTTCATTCAGAATTAACATAAATCCTGATGTTACTTTACTGAGAAAAGTACAGAGCATTTTAATCTATTCTAGCCTTCCATAAGTGTTTGTCCTTACCAGATTTGTAAATGATTTTACACTTTTTAAATCTTTCCAGTGGCTGAAGACATTTAGATATAGAAAGGAAGAAAGCTTTACTAATTGGTTTGAAAAAAAAAATCTGAGGCATAGTGTGTTTAGTGGTGGTGGTAGAGGAATAAAAAGAAAAATTAGAGAAGGCATTCTTTAAATTACTAATCTGGGTGATAAAATTAAGGCCATGTCTATGGTATCACTTAAATGTGATGTATCTCGTCTTTACTCTTGGTCAAATCATACTTCTGTGTATTAGTAAGTTGTGTTTTAAGTTGGTATGTGTGGAGTGGAGAGGGGGAGTTTGAGAACCCTGAAGCTACAGAGAAGTAGAGTTTGGTGGTCATTGTATTTCTGTGAAATATACTTACACCACTTTGGTCCTGATCTTACAGGAAGTCAGAACTTCGCATTAACAAGGCATCACTGGCTGATTCTGGAGAATATATGTGCAAAGTGACCAGCAAATTAGGAAATGACAGTGCCTCGGCCAATATCACCATTGTGGATTCAAATGGTAAGAGATATGTACTACATTCCATTTCTCAGGCTGTAAGAGGAGTAATCAAGAGATGTGGTGAGAGTTGTAATAAACTAGTGTGTTAAATCTCATTGTGAACAAATAAAAAACATGGAAGAAAAACCATATACTTCAAGGATCCTATGTGTCTTCCATAAAACACACTTCCAGACAAGTGTGTCTACTCCCTGAGGTGGTGTAAATCTGAAACATACGTAGATTTTTATTTTTTAAGAATTTCAGTAAGGTCATGAATGGCAGAAACAGGATGGGTTGCTAAAAGAGATTAGACTTCCTCTTTAAATTTGTCAGGGAGGGTTGTCAAGTCTTTGGCTCCATCAGGAACAGAGTATGTGTGTGTATATATACATGTGTGTGTATTTATATACAGAATACATTTGTATATGCAGGATATATGTATATTACATACATATGTATGTACATATGCATATTATATATGAATATATGTAGTGTGTGTGTGTTGACAGGATACAGTCCTGACTCAGTCCTAGAAATTTGAATGTTCTCGTATGTGTTTTTAATACAGCTGGCTCTAGGTTGTAGGAAGTGAGGGAGGCCTATCAGTTTTTTTCTTAGGCCTATTAATTCAAAATTCGGAGAGTCCTCGAGGCAGAGCCCTTCCTACTATGTCTGGTCTTGAGCTTCTGCTTTCCTGAGAATGGCGCCAGGGATATTTGTTAAACTAATGAATGACTTGGAGGTAGAAGGTGTCACTTACCCTCCAGCCACTTCTCTGAGTTACCCGAAGAAGCTAAAGAGCCACAGCTGGTGGGTGTGTCCTCGGGATACCCAACTCCTCCACAATTTGATGGAGTCATCTCTAGAAACCAATGATGAGCTAAAGCAGGGAGCGTCTCCATCTCTTGAAATAATAAAATGTGACTTCAGAACCCTGTGGTGCTTCTTTTCCCTTTTGCATGATGGCACTTAACTACTGCGTATGCAAGCCCTGTCATGTGTTATAAAGCCAAGCCTGAAGACACTGCTCCCCTCCTGACGGGAAAGGGGAAAGAGTGCCCACTGCAGAGGCCTGGTCTCTGAAAGCGGGAAGGTAAAAATGCAAGACCAGCAAGGGGAGAACAAAAGTAACTTCAAGGGTCAACTCCGTAGGAGACTGATGGAGTTGTGTCTGTTGACTTATTAGGACAGGGAGAAAGGAGTAAGATAAAAATATGGAACAGGGTTGGGAAAAATCTCAGGTTAATCCCCAGCCTTCTCTGGATTCCCCAATGAACTGCTCTGTTGCAGGGTAATCAGAGTTCATTACTTTAATTTTAAATGCCTCCCTCTACAGAGAGTAGAGGACAACAGTGAAAAGTAGTTTCCATCACTATTTTTAGGAGCTGCGTTTATAGCTGAAAATGTAAAAGCCATTTAAAATTTATATGAGTAAATGTAGCATCACTTTACTTTTTCATCAGCACAGGTTAAGCAGTAAGTATATTGCTGGTGTTATTTTACCCCATGAGAAATTTTATAGGATGCTAACTTGAAACACAAATTTAAAAACTAATTTCAGTGGCTGCTTCTTTTTTGTTGTTGTTTTTTCTGTTGTGCCGTGTTCAGTAGCTTGTTCTCAGCCTGTCATTGGCTTGGTTCAATGTGTCTCCCGTGGTAAATGCTATTGAATTATGATTTTGACACTTGGATTAGATTTGTAGAGCTATGTGTACTATAAATTCCCAGGAAAATACAATTAGAATAAGTGTCATGTTCTCACTGAGTGCTTACAGTACTATTATAATATTCCAGGTTTTCTGATTTACAGGATTAAGCAGTGAATTATTTACTACTATATTATTCCTGGCAAAACCGATAGGGTTTTTTTTATTCATTTTGGGGTGCTGAGGGATAATACGGCTTTTTACTTTTCTCTAGTAGGACAGACATCCAATTCATTTCTCCATATTAATTTATTTAAGAATTGGTCTCGAATTTGAATATTTAGTATTGACCATAGAGAAATGCAAGTTGGGATGTTTTTGATAATCAGTCCTTTTTACCTGACAAGAGTAAAGAGAAGTGCTTGGAAAATTGTAAGGAAGTCATTCTTAAACAACCAACTAAAATTTTTTACAGAATGAGGTCTTACTGGCTTACGTAGAGCATCTGAGGGCGAATAAAGAATCTCAGTTACAATGCAAGGTGGTCTTGTTTTTATTTTCTTCTTAGAACCCTAGGAATAGTTCATCCTTATCCAACCCTCTCATTGTATTTCAAAAGAAATGTGAACTTAGTATGTGTCTGAAAGCAGACACGTTTAGAATCACAAGATATTTAGTAGCAAATGAGGACTTGAACCCAGATTTCTTGAATTCCTGATCCAGTAGAGCTCACTTTGTACCTGTGTGTTTGGGAATGTTTGAGTAGATTCTTTGGTTTGTGAAGAAAACAAAAAAACACAAAAAAACTGAAGGAAGGGTGTGAGGCATAAGGACAGAGGGATTCTCTGGGCAAGAGTTGGAACTTCATTGTAACTGGGCGTCAAGGAGAAAAATGTAACCCAGGGCATATCTAAAGATTTAAGTAAACGAGAGTTTCTGGATCTTCTCTCTAGTGTCTCTGCCTTTAATGTGCTTCAGATACTTTCTTGTAGCTTCTGTTTCTTTTATCGTCTCACCTCTCCTGCTTTCAACGGTGCTTCTTTATAATTACAAACTTTAACCTGTTTATGATCTCACTTAGCCATATTTTTCTTCATGGCTCTTTTTAAGGCATTCTTTCCATTTTAACTCCTATTGTGTGATTGTTTTCTTAGTTCCCAAATCAGATTCCCTATTGCAAGAATCTGATTGGCAGGGCGCCTGGGTGGCTCAGTTGGTTAAGCGACTGCCTTCGGCTCAGGTCATGATCCTGGAGTCCCTGGATCGAGTCCCGCATCGGGCTCCCTGCTCGGCAGGGAGTCTGCTTCTCCCTCTGACCCTCCTCCCTCTCATGCTCTCTGTCTCTCATTCTCTCTCTCTCAAATAAATAAATAAAATTAAAAAAAAGAATCTGATTGGCAGCATCTACGTGCCAGACCATTTCGAAAGACCTAGAGAGCTTACGAATCATCTGCCTTCTGGTCAGGTGCCCACCATGGGCTCAACCCGGGAGAGTGAAACTGGAAACATGGCTGCCTAGAAACGCCCCTCTCCTCAGAGGCTGTGGGCCGTCTGCTTTTCGTCAGAGCCTGTGGCTTGGCAGCCACCATGAGAGACAAGGCCGATGTGTTCTGCATATTGGGAGACTCTCTTTTCCCCCAACACCTCAGGGGCTTAGTTGCAGCACAACCAAAAAGAAAATAATCTTTCTGATCCTTCAGGCTCTTCTACTGCTCTCTTTGAATTTGCTATATTCAGATCAATTCTGGTTATCAAAGAAGTCTCAGCTCAGATCCGGAGCTCTCTGGGACTCAGATACACAAACTTGTGTTGTCACATCCCTGTCTCCTTAGAAATCTGGGCAAACACTGCACAGAAACACTCTTTCAGAGGGAAAAAGAGCACTCTACTGTGGTTATAAACTGCCACATGGCCAAGCCTTCTCTCTCTAAATGTGTATTTATTATTGACTTGGGCTGAGAGAGTGGAATTCTCAAGAATTTCATTTCCTTCTGGGGGTCCTAGAAAAAAGTCTTAAAAAATAAGAACATGTTGTGAAAACATTATATTATGTAGAACTCCCCTTGAGATTTTAATTTATATTTTCTACGAAATAGTAGTCATTTTGTTAATTTTGTGTTACCTCACTCATCTCTCCCATATTTCTCCAATAAGTACACAACTGTGATCTGATAATTTCTACACAGGTTGCCTTGCAGAAAGATCCTGGTATGCTGCTGTGAGCTAATTACCCAAATTTCACCCTGTGCAAAAGATACTGAAATTTTCATACAAGTACCTTCTTTGCACAAATATGTTTCGAATATATTTTGGTACAAGATTCTAGGAGGTATGGCAGGGGTAAGGGGAAAGAAGATATGCAGGAGAGATTGTTTTCTCTCCAGAAAAAAAAGAAAAATGTAGCAAGATGACCTTGCTATTTGACACTATTTTTAATTTCAAAACACAGCTGTGTAACTATCAGGGAAAAATTAGCTCGGATCATAAAAGTCTTCCATCCAATATTAGGAACTTTCTGCAGTGAAACTCATTGCTTAGATTTGCTTAGATTAGCAACTAGGTATAAATGAAATGATGACAAAAACCCAAGAAATTCTCCTTAAATTGTTATATGCTTGAATGAAATAATGACCATATTTTACTATTTTTGAACATTTAGAAAAGAATGTATATACATATATGTATTTGGTCATTATATATGTATTGGTCAATAATATGGTCATTATTTCATATGTATGTGTGTGTGTGTGTATATATATATATATAGCCAATCACTATATTAAGCTATGTTTTCAAAGTTTATGTTTTCTGCCTTTTCCAATGCCTTTTAATCCCGATCTTATTTGGAAAAAAGAATTTGCTATACAGTAGACAGATATACACATGCAATCTGCTAATTATTTTTGGGACTATGTGGGTCTAACAAAGACCAGCTGAGGTTTCGTATAAAGAAGGATCTCACAGGCAGCCGTCATTACATGGTGGGTTATGGGTGGATTCCTTTCATGAATTTAAATACGGCCCCTTAAGAGGCCACATACACCATGCTTACACAGATTGTACACTGTATGTTCATTTTTATTTGCATTTCATTTGGCTTGGTCTTTATACAGGAAACCTTAATTTCACAATTAATTCTTAGCTAAGAAGCTCCATAAAAACTCCTGGGCATCAGATTAGGGAAGAGAGTAATAGACCTACCTGGTTTTCAAATTAATTAAGTACTGCAGTCTTTAAAAGATTAATACAAGAGAATATAAAACTAATCAATCATATATCCTCTACTAGATTTTCTTTTTTTAATCAGGAGAAAAATTTATTTGAGTGAGATTCAAGATCCCATAGGAACATTGGGCTCATAGCAATAAATTTGCTATTTCCTTTGAGATGAACAAAAAATATTTCCACAAAATTTGCCTAATATATCAATAGGTCCTTTAAAAACTTGGCTCATGTGGGTAATAGGCTTAGTTTCCCCCTCTCCCAAATGGATGGCATTGTTGGAAATGCTGTGATATTGGTAAACCAGCTATAGTTATACTGACAATCAATATAAAATGTTTTGTAATTTAGAAAGCAGTCTCCATGTATGTTGTATTATATTGTATTCCCACGAAGGGTAATAAGGAAGAACAATATGAGTGGAATGGAGTTGTATTTTCAGTGTATAATATCCATTCTGTTTCTACATCATTTATTAATTTCAACATTTCTCAGTTGCTTTCTCGTAAGCTCTCATTATGAGCAAGAATGCAGACACTTGAAGATGTTCCTTAAGTCATCTTTACTAGTGCTAATAAATAAGTGGGCACATTTTCAATCTTTAACAAGATGACTTGGTCATATTTTTTGCACACACAATAATAACCTGTAATTTTAGAATAACAAGGAGTCACAGGAGTGGATGTTTAAATACACACAGACACATCATATGTATGTTTGTATATACGTACATGTATGTGTCTTTTGCCAAATAGTTATATTTGGTATGTTGTGCTCGTGGTGAAATCTCAAACAAGTCATGCATGCGTAATAATTAGAAAAATTCCTTACCACAAGGTGTCATTTTTCAGACACTGCAACTTTTTCTCGAGAGCAGATCCGATTTATTAAAAAAGCATTCAAACATGGCAAATATACTAATGTTCCTTATGTTTACTTGCCTACTCAGCATAAGTTGCTCAGCTGTGTTCAGTTCCTGATCATTCTAAATCCTCATTAATTTGCACTAATGAAGGGGATGTCCTTTATAAATTAACAAATTTAATATACCGAATTACTGCAGGAAAAAACATGTTGCTTAAATAAACATCAAGAAAATTGCAGGACTTAATTTTTTTAAATCTGTAATTGCAACAAAATTATTTTCAATCGCTTATAACAAAAGGTTGTTTTGTAAGTCTATGAATTCTGCCCAAAACATGCATAAAATGCTTGCCGAGTGATTTTTTTTTTAATTTTATTATGTTACGTTAATCACCATACATTACATCATTAGTTTTTGATGTAGTGTTGCATGATTCATTGTCTGCGTATAACACCCAGTGCTCCATTCAATACATGCCCTCTTTAATACCCATCACCAGGCTAACCCATCCCCCCACCCCCCTCCCCTCTAGAACCATCAGTTTGTTTCGTAGAGTCCATAGTCTCTCATGGTTCGTCTCCCCCTCCAATTTCCCCCCCTTCATTTTTCCCTTTCTACTATCTTCTTTTTTTTAACATATATGTTTCAGAGGTACAGGTCTGTGATTCAACAGTCTTACACAATTCACAGCGCTCACCATAGCACATACCCTCCACAATGTCTATCACCCAGCCACCCCATCGCTCCCACCCCACCCCCCACTCCAGCAACCCTCAGTTTGTTTCCTGAGATTAAGAATTCCTCATATCAGTGAGATCATATGATACATGTCTTTCCCTGATCGACTTATTTCGCTCAGCATAATACCCTCCAATTCCATCCACATCATTGCAAATGGCAAGATTTCATCCCTTTTGATGGCTACATAATATTCCATTGTATATATATATACCACATCTTCTTTATCCATTCATCTGTTGATGGACATCTTGGCTCTTTCCATAGTTTGGCTATTGTGGACATTGCTGCTATAAACATCGGGGTGCACATACCCCTTTGGATCTTTGGGATAAATACCCAGTAGTGCAATTGCTTCAACTTTTTGAGGAACCTCCATACTGTTTTCCAGAGTGGCTGCACCAGCTTACTTTCCCACCAACAGTGTAGGAGAGTTTCCCTTTTGCTGAGTGATTTTAATCAAAAAGATTAATTTTTCTTATTAGCAAGATTCTTTTAGTGTAGAAGTATACAACTTCTAACTTGTGCTTCCCCCAAGAAAATTCAGAAGGTTTATTTTTAAGGCCATTTTAAGGCCATTTTAAGGCCATGTTGAAGATATTTTTAAGGTCTCCAGGGTAAATATCTAATTTTAGGAAGGGAGATGATTGCTATTATTAATATTTTTTTAGGAAGGGAGATTATTTTAAGTTGTCTCTGTGTAGATAGATTTTTATAGTAACCTCCTGTTCTGGTATTTTTATGTAACGTTCAATTTAAAAAGGAAACGTTTTGGTTAACCTTTCCTCTAATCTGAGATCTTTTATGTTGGAGATAGAAAAGCTCTGACTTTTTTTTTCTTGGAAGGTCACAGTGGACAACTACTTGGTTTGTCAAAAATAAATTTGAGAAGAGTCTTGATATTCATGCTGGGATTGGGACCTCTGCCCAATTCTTGTGACCCTGAGCTTATGACTTCAGTCTGGCTGTCCTGTCAGTGATGGGTCCTGAAGAACAGAAAAGGAAACCTCTTTCCTAACGTGGGCACTTGCTTGGAAACGTGGATCTTCTTCTGGGTATTCATAGGGAGAGATAAATATTGTGAATCTTTGATTAAAATCTTTCTCTCAGATTAAATTTTTCCCAAAGAAGAGCAATTTCATTTTCTATAGCCCAAATCCAGAAAGCTAGATGTAGTCATGTTAGAAACAGATATTGCCATATTATCAACTCAGACTATCCTCTTTAATGCTTGCTGCTTGAGAAAATCCAAAGGGTATCGTATACCTTCCCATTCTGATTCCTTTCACTTCTTCCCATTTTTTGTGGGTGTAAGAGGCAATGAAGGCTACTTTGGTGGCTTGGTAATAATCTTACACTTTGAATGGTTGGTCTTCCTAATGTTGGAATAGAAAGGACTGTCCATTACTTAATTTTCACAAGAGAAGCACATTTGGTTTTACTAAAGATAGATGTCTGATCTTTATATATTCCTATTAAACATCCCTTCTGAATCTCAGATGCTATTTTTCCCCCCTTCTGATTCCACAAAACCTTGTATCCCTAGAGAAGTGTCTGAGGTTGAAGAAACATTGCCAATTAAATTAAGTCTTCTTACCTACTGGACTAGTCCTACCATGGAAACCTGAAATGGTCATATCTGTATTTTAAGATGATTATGTTGAGTGTGAACATTTCTAACTCCATGATTAACAGGCTGTTAATTCAAACATAAAATGATAATATATATGATTTGCTTAGGATTTTAGTAGGTCTGGTAACTTCTGTAATACATATATATATATTACAACAGATTCAATTTATCTTTTTTGTCCTGGTTAGTAAATAGTGAAGTACTATTTTGTCATTTAACAATAATTATACCAACAGTGAAGGTTGAATGATATTTATCATTGCATCACTACATCTTTCCAGACTTCATAAAACTATGCCTTACTGAAAATACTAGATTTTAGCAAGTGAAACCCTTTTCAAGAAGACAGAATTGGTTAGACAATGTAATCATCCTTCGTTCCATCATAAAGGCAGCAAACTGAAAGCTTGTCAAAGCTTAAACAAAACTGTCACAATTCCCACCATAATGGTGTGTCCAGCAATATGTAGTTTCTCCTTCATTCCCTTGGGGTGGGAGCTCCCTGTTACTCTGTGCCTGCCTGGAGTAGCTGAAAACTCTTGTCAAATAAGGCGCCCATCTGGATTATCACTGGCAATTTTCTGTAGAGTTCAATGCCAGAACTTGGATGTTTTTCACCAATCCCAATGAGAAACATTGCTTGCTTTTGTTTTCGAACAAACATGTAGTTCTCCAAAGATTGATAACTTAAAAATTCTGACCACAGCTTTGATATTTTTTTTACATCTGCCATCTGCCTTCCTCTCTGAGAAGGAACCCACCACCTCCTTGCTGTATATTGTCCTTCACCAGCCCCGTGGGGACAGGGAATCCTTCCTATGTACTCCAGCATTGCTCATCTCATGCTCTTTGCCCAAGAAAGAAGAACTACTTATCTGGACAGCCCCCCCCCCCTTTTTTAATGCATTTCTCACATTCAGGCTGGATAGGGCCTGGGCTTTCATCACCGTCTTGCAATCCTTTTCTTCCTTTACACTCTTTTTCGGTTTGAAGGCAGGCTGTGGAAGTGGCTCCTGGCCTCCTGATTATACATCATAATCTCCTATCACCTTTTCTTTTTATAGACATCATCACTGGAATGCCAGCCTCCACCGAAAGAGCATATGTGTCTTCAGGTAAGGAGGACAAGCTCACCAAATTTTACTAACCAGAACGACAGACCTAACTGCTGGCTGCACCTTCTACTAATCAAACTGTAGCTGCTCTTGTTTTCTGCTCCAGTATTTCCTCTCTGGCTCCTTTTGCCTTTTGGGGTTTTATGTAAAGGGGTACAGTTCTTGGTGTGTGTCTGAAGTTGGGCCTGAGAGGCATGCATGGAGAAAAGAGATGTTTAGATACAACTTAGTGACATTAGACCAGGAAAGTTGACGTCTGGGTTATACGTTGAGTTTTTACAACCTTTCTAGGTGCCTCAGCTGCCTCTGTTCTTTTCATCCACCGTAGTTCATTCCTGGATAATGTGTCTGTGTCCCATCTCTGACCTGTGGGCTCCTAATGAGCAGTTGTGGGTCCCTGAACTTACAGAAAACACCGTTCTGTGCCTAAATTTTTCAAATGTTGGTGCATTGCTTTTTGGTTTGTTTTTGTTTCTTCCTTGCCTGTAATATTTGCCAGTAGCACTTACAGTCTGAGCAGATATTAGCCACTTCTAACCCAGCTCTACTAATGCATGTATAACCATAATTCATTGATTTCTCCATTAGTGTGAATTTAATTAATCTGCTGTGAATTTTTTTCTTTTCTTTTCTCTCTCTCTCTCTCTTTTTTTTTTTACTTCCCTTATCCTCTGTTATTCTATAGTTAAGAGGACCTTGGAATGTTTAAAAATTCGTATTTAATGAGAGGCAAGTTTTTAGAGTCCAAGATTCAAAACTCATTTCAGAAGTACAACAACAACCTGTTTCTGCATGACACCTCACAGTTTACAAAGACTTCTACATCTCATTTGGTATTCACAATAGATGTGTGAAACAAGACATTATTTTTCTTCATTGTACAGATGAGAAAACTGAAGCATTAGAAATGTTAAGTCATATGTCTCAGCAAGTAGGAGAGCAGATCATTCCAGCTAGCCCAGTATTCCTTCCCATTACCCCGTATTTAATGTTTTGGCTTCTTTGATTTCCTTCATTATGGCCGGTACCTTGTTGGGAAGTTGGAGGAGGCCATGTAATCGAACACAGCCTTTTTTGACTTACTTTCATCAGTTTCTCCTCTGCCCTTCCAAGCCATTGTTCAAGATCATAAAAGTTAAATCTCTCTGTATCCCAGATGGCTTTGACCATGTTTAGGGCATATTCATGTGTTGTTCCTAAGATGGACGTATGCATGTTACAGGGTGGGATGATCCTGGAGTCTAAGAGGATTGTACTTTTCTGAGTAATAGAAAGAAAGCAAGAGAGAAGGGAGGGAGGGGAGGAAAGATAGAGGTAAAAAGAACAACAAAAAGGAACAAAAATTGTTGAGTTATCTGAATTTTCTTCCCCTTTCCTTCAGGCATTTCTTTCTTATAAGGGACTTCACTATCTGACTCCATAGATATTGTTAGGAACCTGAGCTTCTCAGATTATGTGGTGCTTCTCTTGGGAATCGGGAGTGACTATCATTATTATTTTCCGATATATGACTTGAATATAACTTTCTGGCTGCTGAATTTCAGTCTCTCTTTGATACTAACTTGTTCTTCTTTCTGACTAATAAAAACCCTTAGGTCCCGTGCTTTTTTTTCTGCATAAGTTGTGTTTTATGCTCTATCTGTATTTAAATACTAGCTTTCCTTCCTTTGCTACCTAAGAGAATCTTGCCACTATACATCTCCAGTGACCTTATTATGAATTTATTTAGCATGTTTGTTTGATCCTACCGTAACCGCTCCAGTGGATCATGCATGGACTTTATTCAGCACCGTATTTGGTCAGGGTGTGTATGCAGACCATGTTGCCTGAGAACAGATTCATTCTTCTTCTTTTTTTTTTTTCCTCTGTGCGTGAAAGTTGACTTTCATTCTTTCTGAATATGGGGATTGTTCTCTTTGGTTTCATGTTTCTGAAAATCAAGACCACACTTGAGAGAAGGAATGGGCCATCTCACCTGTCCTGTGGATCTGTTCAGAGTCATGTTTCTAGGAAGTTCATACACCACTTGGTATGTGGGGTATCTCTGCAGGTGGACTGACTCCATTTTCATCCTTTGGGTTTGGACTACAGAAATAGTCCTCCGTGGTCTCTGAATATTGCATACATCTTCTTCCAACTTTGAAATGCTTCAGCTTTTCTATTGCACTGTTTCCTAGTCCTCTTTTTCTGGATGATCCCCAAGCCTGGCACATTTCTGATGTAAGAATGCAAGCCACCTGACTCAATAAAGCCTCATTTCACTTCTTTGTTTTATAGAGTCTCCCATTAGAATATCAGTATCAACAGAAGGAGCAAATACTTCTTCATGTAAGTATATTTGAATATTCCATTCACTAGTTTTTAACCCAAGACAGTATCTGCCTCTGGAGATGGTGTTCCTGTTGATCCTCCGTCCTCACTGAGGAACAGTACATTATGAGTTTGGGAGCAGGCTGGTATTTGCTGTTTGGAAGGGAATGGCCCTGTGCTATGCTTGTGGGAGGCGGGGGTGGGGAGGGGGGGATTAGATATCCCCTCCCCCTAAGATACACAGGGACATTAGAAGATACCACATATGTGGTGGTGTTATAATGTAGTGTCTTTGAATATTGAAAAATGACTGCAGAGCCTCTGAGGCCTGGTTCTGGGTGAGCAATGAAGAACATCGTTAGTTGTTTTTAGTGTGTCTTGTTGCCTTTAGCAATTGCTTGAGGCCTGATACCCAGCTGTTTGGGGCCTATTCTAAAGCTCCCTGGTTCTCACATAAAGTCTGCTGTGATAGAGTAAGGAAACTATATATAGATGCCCTTAATTCAAATTCGATAGCAATTATGAAAATGTTTGAAGGCACGTCCCTAGGCAAGATCTCAGATTAGTTTTCATCTGTTTAATGTGAAATGTGCTTTGTGCTTGTGGAGTTCTACAACTGTTAGATTGGTTGGTGCTTTGTGCCATGTCAGGGGAACGTAAGAAATTAGCAAGGACTGGTAAAAATAGTTTTGATATTTATGAATTGTGAATAGCGTCGAATTAAATTTTGATAATCAGCGGGGGAATTTATCAGACCTTGAAAATAAAACCTATAATTACAGTCTTTCTCTCCCTTATTTTAGCTCTTTATTTAAAGCTATTTCTCAGCCTGAGAAGCTCTTCAATAAGTAGATATTCCCAATTATTTTATTCCAACCCGGGGAGCGTGTTTAAGATACAGTTTCCTTTGGCTGTCAACATGGTAGGAAGCACTTGCAGGAAGGTCTGTATTTTAGGCCACTTCATTTGTTTTGTCCATCTGTTTAAATACATCCAGTTTGAACCTAAAGCCTTTCCCTTCAGGTTCGTACCAGAACTGTAACGATATGATGTAAACATTTTTTTTATTGCATGAAGTATGATGTTTTCACTATATTTTAGCTAGATAAAGCATCATTTAACTAGATTGATGGAAGCAATCTAGTGGGATCAAACAGGAAATAAGATGCCAGAGAGGACTAAATTGGCTTCTTCTGTATTCTAAAGATACTCATTACATAGTCTAAAACGTTAATCCCTTCTGGGGAGCTTGGGATATTTGTTATTTAATTCTACTTATAAAAAGATTAGTATAATTATATAGATTTTAGCTAACTAGCATTAAGGAATCATGTTGAGCTTTGTTTTAGGTTTTTGAGTGTTTATTATACAAGGGCAAATACTAGATTTTTCTTTTTGGCATTTTGTCTGGGAACAATTTCTCCCCTGCATGATTCATTGAATAAAGTTATTGAAACTCTTGTAATTGGAACTCTCCTGCTATCATTAACGGGGCGATGGATGCTATCCTGAAGCATATCCGAGTAGTTTTGGAATAGAAGAAATACTTCTTTGGGTTTTCCAGAGCTTGAGGGAACTGAAATGAATCTCTCAGTTTACATTTGTATTCATTGCAATACTGTTGAGAGAGAAATAATGTTGAAATCTGACTCTGATCTCTAACTCTCAGCAGAGTTAGTTCCTGATATTTGGTAAAGGTTTAAGACTAAGAAAGAAGGCTTTGTATTTTAATATCATGTTAAAATATTTCAGTGCGCCATTTTCATACATTTCCCCCCCCTTTCCCCGTTCATGCTCGGCTCTCAGTAAATACTGTGGAATTGATTCGTGCATACATTTTCTTAATCTCATGAAAATGCGCTCTGTAAAAAAGTATAACCAAGAGTGGCAGGATTCTAAGTCCAGTCTTGGCAAGAGCGGCGTGAGGCGCTCAACCCATCCAGAGGGAGCAGAACTCTGCAGTGCAGAACCCTGTGACGTCAACAGAGCTCCATCTAGCAAAGGCTGAAGGGGAAACTTGAGGAAGCAGAAATAGCCAGAAGCGGGACTTAAACATTCAAATGCTATATAAGAGTCGAAGGCCTTGGGAAAGTTCACATGGGTCAGAAATAATCAGCACCGAAGAATAGGTTCCTTTTCGCTTTGTTTCCACCAGAAAGGAGACACCAGTAAATCCCCGCGCATGAGAAGTGAATGCAATGTAATCATATTTGTGTGGGCTGCATTCTTGGCACTCTTGGCACTGGTGTTTGCTGTGTACATTTTGAAAAGCCTTTCTATGGCTTCAGCAAACCTGTTGTGGATCATGATGAGTTGGCGTGCTCTTGGGGTCAGGCAGCCCTGTTACTTGGCCGTTCTTGAGGCACGAAGCTGCGCACCTGTGTGCAGGAGCAGCTCCTTGCTGCCGGCCCCGTTGATGAGAGCCTCTGGCGGCTGAGTAAACCCTGAGAGGGTTCAGCAGCGTCGGTTTGTGCCCTCGGCCCTGCGCGGAGGCCCCCCCGAAGGATGCCGGGTCCATCTTTTCTGCCGGCAGCCTGCTTCTCCCCAGAGCCTTCCCTGACCACGCCCGCCCTCGGAGTTCTACTTTTGTGCTCTGTAACTCCTGGTGGGTTAGAAAAAAACAGAGACGAGAACAAGCATTGCCCACCTACCTATCTGAAATACTACTGCTAATATTTTTTTTTTAAAGATTTTATTTATTTATTTGAGAGAGAGAGAATGAGAGACAGAGAGCATGAGAGGGAGGAGGGTCAGAGGGAGAAGCAGGCTCCCAAGGAGCAGGGAGCCCGATGCGGGGCTCGATCCCAGAACCCTGGGATCATGACCCGAGCCGAAGGCAGTTGCTCAACCGACTGAGCCACCCAGGCGCCCTACAGTTATCTTCTGAAAGATACTAGGCACGATTATCTTGCTGCTCTTAAGACAGTCCAAATTTTGTTTGAAGAAATGTTTTAGGGAAATGTTTGCCTCCATGTTTTAAGTGTAACTCTTGATGGTTTATTTAGCTTTTTATGTGGGGAAAGGGTATGAAATTTAGGTTGGGGAAATGATTTGAGGGAATTTCTTAGGAATAACCTATTTTATTTTTTTTATTTTTATTTTTTAATTTTATTTATTTTTTTTTTAAATTTATTTATTTGAGACAGAGAGAATGAGAGACAGAGAGCATGAGAGGGAGGAGGGTCAGAGGGAGAAGCAGGCTCCCTGCCGAGCAGGGAGCCCGATGCGGGACTCGATCCAGGGACTCCAGGATCATGACCTGAGCCGAAGGCAGTCGCCCAACCAACTGAGCCACCCAGGCGCCCACTACTGCTAATATTTTAATATACATTCTTCTTATCAGTGTTTTTCATTCTGGCTTTCTATTTATCCACCCTCCCTCCATCTACTTAATGTATCATACGCATTTATCTGGTGTTACCAAATACAAATCAGAAGTATTTTAAAATACTGTTTCTGGATCTTAAACTTTTAAATAATTCTTTAAATCACTGTAACAGGGTGCCTGGGTGGCTCAGTTGGTTAAGCGACTGCCTTCAGCTCAGGTCATGGTCCTGGAGTCCCGGGATCGAGTCCCACATCGGGCTCCTGGCTCGGCGGGGAGCCTGTTTCTCCCTCTGACCCTCTCCCCTCTCATGCTGTCTCTCTCTCTCTCTCTCTCTCAAATAAATAAATAAATAAATAAAAATCTTTTAAAAAATTTTAAAAATCACTGTAACAATAAAGCACTTGTTCTTGACTGGAGGTTTTAAGGGATTTATGTTTCATTTACAAATACCTTATCATTTATTTCCCCTTTGTATTTATTATTCCTAGCATTTCATAAATATTGGTGAAATATCAAAGGTACTAGTCCTTCCCTTTGGAAGGAAAATTTTAACTATTTCTTTTTTGAAACTGGGATTGAAATTTGCATTGTACACTCACTATTTTTAGAGTTGCTAATTTATAAAATTTTCAAGAAGTTTCTGGTAATGATCTCCCAGTAAAGATTAACATTATTTGCCTTTATTTTATTTACTTTGTTTTGGTAAATGTGGCTTCTGTGACTTGAAACGTGTAATTTGCTAAATGAGTGTCCTGTTACACGTTAAGTGCTATTGTATAAGGAGAAGAATATGAACCTTACAAAACAATTAGTAGAACTCTCTTGTTCCTCCTTCACATAGGATCAGCAAAAAAGTAAAAGAAGTGCTTAGAACAAACCTTAATGACTTCTCTCTGAAGTGCCATCTGCCCGTGACCATATCTTGCTGACGATTTTATTGAACACCATAAAAAAGTACATTTGTTAATACCAGTCAATTTACTGAATTAAGAACCATCCATTCCAATTTAATATATAAACAACGGAAACAAAAATGACAAGTCTAATGAATAGTAGTTAGAAAAAAATAAAGATAAGTTTCTGGAAAATGATCTTAAATAGTAATAAGTGTTTCTAATAATAATAATAATAATAATAATAATGTCAAACATCTGTTGAAGGCTTTCTGTGTGCCAGGCACTGTGCTAGGTAATTTGCATGGAGAACCATAACTCATGGTTCTCATAAAACCTTAATCCATTCTTCAGATGTTGAGGCTGATAAATTTTGTCTGAAGTCACACAAGCAGAATACAAACCCAGGCAATCCACTAGCCTGCTATGCATGACATGTGAGGTTTTGTTGCCTCAAAGAAAAAGCCTTTAATATGAAAAGGAATGAGATTCTGTGAATGGGCTGGAAAATAATCTTTGACATGAAGTGGATTGGGAGTGTGGGTGGTAGCTTAGGTAAATGCATGACCTGGGACCACTTGAGCCCATGTTATCTGTGTGTTACGCACATCAAAGCATGCCGGGCAGCGAGGGGGAAAGGACAGAACACACACCTTGGGTGGACACATGCTCGGAAGTCTAAATACGATGCTGTAATTGCTAGGTAATCTTAGACAAATTGTCTAACCTCCCTGAGACTCAGTTTTAAGGTCTATATAGTCTTGTTTATCTCAAATCTACATTGGAAGCCTAATGTG